GTCTGGGTCTTAAACCTCGCACAAGTCTCAGACTGACCTTTGAACTACATAAGTATGGGACAAACTCAACACAGCACAGCAAAGGCTGAAAGAGCTGAGTGAGAACTGGCTGAGTTACTAACCAGAGAGTGAGATCGATGCCACAGCGAGTCTAACCTGTTGTGCCCCTGCTCAGTGGAAAATGCCAGCATTCTTTGGAGGGGACATAACAGAAGTCACAGCATACACAACAAAAAATTTACAATGTCTATAATATGACAAAAAATATTTAGCAGGAAGAGCTAGGAAAATCTGCCCCATTCTTAAAGTCTGTCCATAGATGAACCAGATATTGAAATTTTAGGCAAGGATTTTAAAGCAGCTATTATAACTATGTTCAGTAAAGTAAAGGAAAGTACATTAAAAGTAGATAAGAAAATATTAATGAAAAAATAAAAAATATACCTGAAAATGATGCAATATTTTCAGGAACAGTTGGACTAAAAAAATGAGACGCCAGAGAAAAGAATGAACTAGAAGACAAATCAATAAAAATTACATAAGAAGAAAGAGAAAAAACAGAGTATAAAGTTCTAAAGAGACAATATCAATACCCTACCCCTGTAGGGTAATTGATAGCCCAAAAGGAAAGAACAGAATGGAACAAAAAAAATTTTTTTTTTTTTTTTTGTCTTTTTCCTTTTTATCGGTACCAGGGATCGAACTCACAACTGCCTGCTTGCAAGGCAGGCGCTTATGCCGCTGAGCTAAACCCCCAGCCCCAGGAACAAAAAAAAATTTTTTTGAAAAAATGATACCGAGGCTGGAGGTTTAGCTCAGCGGCATAAGCGCCTGCCTTGCAAGCAGGCAGTCGTTAAGTTCGATCCCCGGTTCCGATAAAAACGAAAAAGACCAAAAAAAAAAGAAAAAATGATACCTGAGAACCTCACAAACTTCACATAAATTCATAGAGTCAAGAAATTTAGCGGACCCCAAGTGGGATAAATTGGAAAAAAAAAAAGAAGCTCCAAGTAAGCTATGGAAAACCAAAGGCACAGATAATATTTGAAAGCAGACAGACGGAAATAATACATTGTTTACAGGGACACAATAAATTATCATGAAATTCAGACAGCTCTTAAAACAGAAGACAGTAAAAAAAAAAAAGACTTGCACCATTCTAGAAGGGAAAAAACATTGTCAGCTCTGAATTCTGCACCTAGTACGAGCATGTATACCCTTTCTGAATCCAGCGTTCTGTTTCTAGCATCTACTGTACATACTTTTTGAAAACGAAGGCAAAACGCGGAAGAACTGGCTGGGAAGCAGATGGCTTGCTAGGATGTTCAAGGGCCTGGGTTTAATCCTCAGCATGAGACACAGCAGGGGTAGTTATAAAGGCAAACTGAAGACACAGTCAGATAAAGGAAAACTAAGAGAATAACCAGCCAAGGGGGATATGAGCAATACTAAACATTCTGTGGTTAAAGAGAAATTACACCAGAGATAAAACCGAATTCTCAAGAGCTGAATGAAGAGAATCAGGGCAGGTGCAAAAAGGTCATTTTTAAGTTTTTAACATTAAAGTATTAAAAAAATTATAACACTGTAGTGGGTAAGGAGATGTAATATACATGATGACAAAATAGCAAAACACTGGCATGGAGTGTGTAAGAGACCCATATGGTTGTCAGGTTTCTTCATTTCTATGAACTACTTCAGTGTTAATTCTAAACTAAAGTATTAAGGTTGTATATTGTAATTCCTAGAAAAACAATTTTACAACTGTTTGCAAAATGATGCCGAAAACAAAGAGTTACAACTAAAAGAGCCAACAGATAATAAAATGTTAGACAAAATATTATTAAATTAGAAAATATTCTAGACTGAATAATGAAATACGGCACATCAGAATATGTAGTGTGCGACTACACACGTTTAGGGCAGAACTGGTAGCTTAAAAGCTTAAAACAAAGGATGAAATCAGTAACCGAGTTCTACATTAAGAATCTGGTTTATGAAAAGGGCAGATATGTGCAAAGTAAGCAGAAGAAAGGAAATAGTAAGTATAAAGACATAAATCAATTAAACAGAAAACAGAAGGTCTAAAATTAACAAAGCTTAAAAAAATCAATAAAATTGAACCACCACCCTCAGCTAGATTATTTATGAGAGAATAAAATTCTCCAGTATGGAGAGTGAACAAGAGTTTTTACTACAGAACCTAAAGACATTAAAGGATGAATAACAGTATAACCATATGCAAGTATGTCTAGTAATGTAGATAAGATAAGCAAATCCCTCAAACTTGTCACTTACCAGAATTAGCATAAGCAAATCTGAATGTACCTAAGAAAATGTTATTTATTTTTGAAAATCTCACCATAAGACATCCAGGTCCAGATAATTCTCTCTAACATTCAAGAAGGAAACTTCACCTATCCTATACAGAAGTTTTCAGAAAACAGAGAAGAAAGGAGCACTCATTTTATGAAATTCGTGTAACTTTAACACCAAACCTGACAAAGACACTTAAAAAGAAAAACTAAGAAAGACTGAGGGATGTAGCTCAGTAGTAGAGTACATGCCTAGAATGTACAAGATCCTAAGTTTAATCCCCAGCAAAACAAAGTCAATTAAAATTTAAGTTAAAAATAAAGAAAATTGGGACTGGGAATACAGCTCAGTGGCATGGTGCCTGCCTGCCAAGCACGAGGTCATGAGTTTGATCTCTGGTACCAAAATAATAACAATAATAATAATAATGAGAATTACATACCAATATCACCTATGAGTATGGCTGCAAAAAAGCTTAAGAGAATACTAAGTTAAATCCAAAAGTACACTTTTAAAATGACAATGTATTCTGGCCTAATATAGTTTGATTTAACTCTATTTAATTATAGTGATTTGTAGTATTAACACAGTGAAAGAGAAAAAAATTATCACTTCAATAGACAGCAGAAAAGCATTTGATAAGATTTAACCCATTCATTATAAAAATAAATAGCTCTGGGAAACAATGAATCATGAAGCGAACATCATCACTATGATTAGGGGAATCTTCCCAAAAAATTTACAACATATTTATGTTTTCTCCTTTTAACTGGAAACAAGACAAAAATATCTCATTCTTACCATATCTGTTCACTATTTTTTCTAGGGTCGCGGACCAACAGTATGACAAAGAAAAGAAATAAAAGAAATAAAGATTGGAGAGGAAAGATATAGGTGTCCCTACTTCCAGGTGGCATGATTTTTAGGTTAAAAATCTTGAAGAACCTATGAAACAGCCCTTAGATCTAAGAAATGAATAGCTCAAGTTTGTACAATACAAGATTGCCTAATATACAAAATCATTTGCATTTTTATATCTTAATAACAAGGATTGGAGCATTTTTAAAATACATTGGTAACAGAAATTAAAGACTGACATAAATGGAGACATACCATATCCATGGATTGGAAGATTCGATATTACTAAAATGACAATTCTCTCCAAACAAATCTATAGAGTCAATGCAATTCCAATCAACACTCAGCAGGATTCGTAAGATAGAAGATAGAAGCTGATTCTAAAATGCACGAAGAATAACACCACCAAAGCACTTTTTGAAAAAGAAAAACAAAACTCAACACTTTATCCTAGCCAAATCCAAAATTTACTCTGGTAAAATTAAAGGTTAAAAAAGCCTAGCAAATGTACAGGAAGTACAGGAAGCCGGTGGTGCTGAGCTTTGTAGAGATGAGGGCCCAAACTGCAATCCAGAATCCACTTATTATGTAACAAAGTGCCAACGATGCAGTAACACCTGAACACTGAAGTTTTAGTGTAGAAAACACAGCTCTTACATGAGCATCTTTTGCCTTAAAAAACATGCCTGCCGTAGGTTTGCCACCACTGGTAAGCCATACGGTTCTTTGAATGTAAAATTCTAGAAAATGCAACCTCTTCTGTGGTATCACAGCAAATAGCGATTAGCTGAAGACAGGAGAATGAGAGCAGGGCTGGACGCAGAGCAGGCAGTGCATGACAAGGTGCAGTATCTCCACCGCAGTAACTGTTTCAAAGCTGTACGTGTCTGTCAAACCTCTTCAAAGAGTGTATCTGTGCATTGCACATTGCAGGACTACACACTCGTGCAGTTTACTGAATACAAACAATGCCTCAATAAGGTTACAAATAAGAGCAATATCACATCACAAGGTAGCATGGGCAGCCTAGCAAAACTCTCTCTCTCAAAAAAAAAATGTTTTTAAAGTAAAGAGCTGCAGATGTACTTCAGTGGTAGAGTGCTAGCCTAGTGTTTGTGAGATGCTTGCTTAGAATGTGTGAGTTCTGAGACTCAGTCCCCAGGATCCCCCTCCCCCAAATCATTTTCTTAATCATGTCTATTTGAATGTTAAAAGCAAAAAATAAGTATTATCCTTTAAACCTCTGTCATGGTAATTTACAATAGGTTCATTGTGAGTCTGTGGCCTCCCTGCCAAATAATACTTAGAGTATAACCACAAGGCCCTTCTGCCCACCAAACCCAGGAAACAGCTGTCTGTCCTCCAGTCAGGCACCCTAACCGCTGTGGGAGCGATCAAGTTGGCTCAGAGCAAGGTACCCTGCAACAGGGAGAAGAGGTCTGAGTGAATCCCTCCACGGTGCTTCTCCACCCTCCCCAGAGCATCTCTGACTCCTGCCCTCCTTTGCCACCTCTAATCCCTTTTTCGCCCTTCCCTGTAGCCTGGTCTGGCGCAATCTCCCTTTCCCTTCCTGCCTGGTTTTCACTCCCAGCTCCTCGGCTGGGCTCCTTTTCCCACAGCACTGAGCCCTGGGCACCACCCAGCCCAGAAGCCCAGCCCCACCCAGCGCCAGTCCTCAGCCCCGGCCTCGTCATCCGTCCCGATTACTGCGGGCCTAGAACCTGTCACAGTGGATTAGAGGCGGAACGGAGGCCGCCCAGACATCACCACTCTCCCCACGCTGTCCACACGGAGTCACCTGCGCCCCAGTCCGCAGCCTCCCTCACCTGGCTCCGAGTGGCCTCTGCCGTGATTCAGGTGTCCTGGCCGCGCCCGGCAGAGCCTGCGGGGTGTGCAACCCGCCTTCGACCGGCAAAGGCCGGGTGGGATGCAACGGCTGTCCAGAGAAGCGGGACCCGCTCGGTCGCCAGGCAACGCGCCGCTCGCCGCCTCCGCCCTGGCTCTTCCCAGCCGCCCCGCCCCGCCCTCCGGCGCGTCGTGCAGCCCAGCTTGCGCCTCCGGCTCTGGAACCCACCGGCTCCATGGCCAGGACTCCGCGCTTGCACCCTGGCCAAGAGGCCTTACTGCTCTAGGTGGAGAAGACACTGGTCCCAGGGAGCCCCCTGGCCTGAAGCCACCTCGACTGCCTCCTTTGGCCCACCTCACCTAACTGCCTATAGGCACTCTTATTCCTACTCCATTTAAAGGAATAAAACTAAAGCAGGAGACTTACAAGCATTTGTCTGGACTACCCGTCGGCCAAGGGTACATTCCAGGGGGTGTGTGTCCATTCTGCCTACTGTCAGTGCAGCTTGGGGGTGCTGCAGAATCTTAAAATCAAAAGCATGAGATTCAGATTTCTGAAAATTTTTTATTTCATACGATAACCTTGGATTCAACCATATTCAGAACTTCTGATGTGGACCTAGTAAATAAGTAAATAAAGCAATAATTTGCCCTGTTAAATGTATGCATAACTGGCCCAGCAGTTCCACTCCTACAGTTGTGCATGCATGCCTGTAGGTCAGAAAAAGACGTGTGTAATTCATCACAGATTCACTGATAATAGTTGAAAGCTGCAAACAACCCAAATGTCCACCAAAAGCATGATTCACAGATTAATTGTGATATACTCATGAAATGCTGTACTGTGCATCAAGGAAATGCACAAACTTCAGCTTTGGGGAACAGCAAAGGTTAATGACAATGTAATATTAGCAAAGACATCAGATACAGGGGGGTACATACTGTATGAGTCCTTCACATACAGTTAAAATCCAGGCCAGCGCAGAGTGCTTATGGATGCATGACGTAAACACAGGAAAGTACAAGCTGATGTCAAAGTGCAGGTAATTGACACCTTCAGTGAGAGGAAGGTAATGGTGAGGGGCAGGCACACTGGCAAAGTCTTAGGAAGCTAGCAATGTTCTTTAGTTTTGGTGGTGGCTTTTTGGGTTTTCTCCTTGTGATAAACTATGTGGAGGCAGGCACTTAGGCTCTCCAGGGTTTGGGAAGGGAAACTTCTGTTCAAAAGCCAGACACAACCAGGCTGGGACACTTAGCTTTGCCCCATGGACAAGATACTTCTCTCTGGGTTTCAGCGTCTTCCTCTGTGAAATGGACATAATAATCTTACACTGCAATTTTTTTACTGTGCTTTTCTCCCAAATATGCTGTGTTCAAAAGTGATAGCTAACGGGGCTGGGGATTTAGCTCAGCGGCATAAGCGCCTGCCTTACAAGCAGGCAGTCGTGAGTTCCATCCCTGGTACCGATAAAAACGAAAAAGACAAAAAAAAAAAAAAAAAAAAAAAGTGATAGCTAACTTCTCACAAAATGAGAAGCGTTCTACAGAAAAAGGATCACATACCACACCCTGTGGGCGCTCTGCGGAAGCAGCTTCACTCTAAAGCATGGAAGTAGACTCTGGAGGCCAAAGTAAATTGTTCTTCTTTCCTAATTAAAAAAGTGAGCATAGAGCCAAATGTTTGTGAAGTGACTAAATATTCCTGGTTCTATCCTGGATGCTGCACAAAAACCACAAACAGGCTGTGTTCCTAAACTAAGAAAAAGTTTAAATTCATCTATGTTTGAAATACATCTATTATACAATCAAGAAAAATTTGCATGGTAAATACATACTACTGATAAATCAAGCACGGTGGCATACAACTCTAGTCACAACTACTCAGGAGGCTGAGGCAGGAAGATTACTTGCACTCAGAAGTTTTGAGCCAAGCCTGGGCAATATAGGGAAAGCTCCATCTGCTCCTACCCAAAATGGCTCACTGATACTTTGTGTAACCAAAAATGGTATTTAAGTATCCATATTATAGGACCATATAATCCTTTAGATAGGTGCTATTATTATCTTTATTTTACAGGTAAGGCATTGGTGTTCAAAGAGATTTTAAAATGTAAAATAATTCTCCACGGGGCTGGGGATTTAGCTCAGCGGCATAAGCGCCTGCCTTGCAAGCAGGCAGCCGTGAGTTCGATCCCTGGTACCGGTAAAAAGGAAAAAGACAAAAAAAAAAAAAAAAAAAAAAATAATTCTCCACGAACTCAGTTGATAATTCTATGCTAGGAACCTGTATTCTTGGTTTATTTTCAGAAAGAAGAGATAGAGAGACAGACAGACAGACAAATAAAGAGGCAGAGAGACAGAGACAGAAACAGGGGAATCGGGAAGGAAGGAAAGAGAAACAAGGGAAGAGGTAGGTCAGAAAAAAGAATGAAAGAGAAAGAAAGAAAAAAAGAAGAAGACAAAAGAAAAAAGAGGGAGAAAGAGAGAAGGAGACTGAGTAGTAATTGATCCTAAGTCATTTCAGATTCACTGCTGGTGCCTTAATGCTTTCATATGTAAATGTTAAATACTTTTGCTACCGCGTTAAAGAGGAGAACTAGACTTAGAGGAGCAGCATAAAATTGCTCAAGCAGTTATGAAAAGCTATGATCACCTAGCCCTTGCCAGTCTCCAACAACCACCTACACTACAAGTAAAAGAAAAAAAGACTCCATATGATTTTCCAACTTTCAGGCCTCTGGAGTACCAGAGGGAATACAGTCCAAATCCAAACACAGCTCTCTGCGTGGATTCCAATTCTCTTCACAGTTAGGGCCTGCCCAAAGGCTTAAAAATTTTGGAAACTAGATCATTAGAGTGTATCTTCATATTATGTACCATAATAAATTCCAACTGGATGAAAGACCTTGAATTCTATAAGACTTGCCAGTGCAGAGCCATTAAAAATAAAAGTACTGGTTTTTTTGAAAATGCATTAAAAATAAACAAAACTGTAATATAAATGAAAATCTGGTGAAAATATACAACATTATGGTAGAAATGAGGTGGGTTTCTTTAGATGAGAAATAAATATATAACTCCACTGATAACCTCAGAAATACCAATTAAAACAGTGCTACAATTCTCACCTCAAATTACAAGGTTATTAATAGTGCTCACAGGAGTGAGGGGCGGGGTCACTCATAGATTACTGTTGCATGCTGAGTCCTAACCTGTCTAAAGAGCCATAAGTATTCACATGTTTTTGTCTCGACAGTTTCACTTTTATGAACTTTTCCTACATAAAGGTCTGCAAATCTTGAAAAAAAAATGATATTAAAGCATTGTTTTGATCATTGAAAAGCAAGATTCTTGTCTTAAAAGCACATCACTTACTGCATATAGAATTCTACTTGATGGTCATACCTAAACAACATAACTGCTTAGGATAAGTCAAAACTGAGTCATTGCCAGGACACATTGCCAGGCCTGCAAAAAAACAGAGCTCTAGATTTAAGGTTCCAGAGATAAGAAAGCCAAAGATGTTCACCGTTTCAGAATGAATATTTACCATGAGCCTTCAGTCACTGTACCTAGTTGAGGGACCATTTACACAGATATAATATACCACTACCATAAGTCTCATACTTCAATTCATTGCAGGTCAAAAAAAAAAAAATAGATACCATCATTATTAGGTTTTAACATGCGTTACCTCAACAATGATACAAAATGCAACAAATTAGCATGGTGAGTACAAGTAAATAAAGTCCCAAGTTTGGTCCCCTACTAGACCTAGAGGCAGCCTTGATTGCAGAAAATAGCTGCTATACAAACCCTGGGGTCTTCATGTCCGTACCCCTAAAAGAGTGATGGGGAAGGAAAGAGTGCTTTTATGAGTTATCCTATAAGGATATCACTGGAAATAATCACAGACTTTATAGCTCACTTCCACGAGTCCTCATCTCCTCGGGTCCCCTAAGGAAACACAGCATGCTCCAAAAAAAAGTGGAGGAGAAAGAAAAGAAGACGTGAGGGAGAGGAACAGAAGAGGGAGGACATAGAAGAAAAAAGGAACTGAAGGAACTATTTACAAGGGTGTGGGTGGAGTTAAAAGGAATCACAAGACATCAAGAGTTCTCCCGAGCCTAGCAACTCTGGCGACTACAGGGGGATATTACTGTCTTAATCTGAAGAAGCCAGGAAAAAGCAGGGGCTCTTAGCTTCTAGGAGACCAAATGCTGTGGAAGAGAGGCTGCCTGATAGGGACTATAAACATAGAGAGAGGATGTAGAGGACAAAGCCATGGGATGCAGGGAGAAAGCCTGAGAAATAAGTACTCTTACTGCTCCCTGTCTCCCTAGCTTCATCTCTGTACCACTGCTGCTCACCGTCAAACCCCATTGGAAGCTCAAAGATGAGGAAAACTGAGCAACACGGCCTATAGATGTCAGCCCACCTTGGGTCAAGAGCAAGTTACAGGAAAAAGCTAGAGAGTACAATAGAATAACCAACAGTGAGTGTCTCCTTCCAAAAGTTGCCTAACTGTTGTTAAACCACAGAAACTAAAGCACTGCGGTGGCTTCCCCTGACTCATGGTCCTGCCCTAGTGTTGACTACCTCTAGCCTCTATCTCCAGACACCCTGCCTACCCTACTGGCCCCATAATGATCCGATGAACAGATGCCAGTCTTCTGTTTAGAGGCTTAAATTCTGACATGGTTCTAATATCTAATCTTAGGGAATTCAGTAATGGACCCCTGGAAAGCCAGCCATCTTTCTGTCTCAGAAATATGGTCTCTGGCCTGTTCTGGGGTTTCTTAAGATCAGATAAAAAGAGCAAGCACTGGGCTGAGGATATAGCTCAATGGTAGAGTGCTTGCCTAGTATGACAAGACACTGTGTTCAATTTTTAGACACACACACACACACACACACACACACACACACACACACAGGGACTGAGTGGTCAGACAGACTGAGAGGCTAAGCAGAAAGAAATCCTGGAGCAAAACTGCCCATTTAGAAAGAAAAGATACAAATAACAGAAAATCTTGGTCCAAAGCAGGTGTACTTGGCTGAAAATTAGAGATTTATTTTTCTTAGAGATAGAAGCTGCTGTTTAGCATTCCAGTTACACTTTACACC